AACAAACACAGCACTGAAGACGGGAAGTGTTAAGCATGGCATGGCTTATCAATCCTGGCGTGACTTGCAACTTGTGGACAACAGGCCGAGCCTTGTCAACAATACGATGTATGTTGCTATGAAGAGCGCCATTTGTTGCACAGAAAAGGCATACCAATGGGAAAACTTCAAAGTGAGAACGCCTCAATTGACAAGACCACAATCTGCCAGCAAGCAAGCAAGCAAAACAGGCGGGGCGCCACTTACTGACTCAGTGACTTAGTGCCCCCAAGACGAAAGGCCCCACTGCAGTAGACTTCCATCATGCTTCCTAAAAACTGGATGAGATAATGTCAACAGACACAGCAGTAAAGACCGGAAGTGTCAAAAATGGCATGTCTTCGCAAGCCTGGCGTGACTTGCACCTCGTGGACAACAGGCTGAGCCTTGTCAACGATTTGATGTATGTGGCTATGAAGAGATCCAAGTTTTGCACAGGAAAGGCATAGCCATCGGGAAAACTTCAAAGTGAGAACGCCTCAACAGCACTGAAACTGGACAGGAAAACAATCTGACAGCAGGCATGGCACCACTTAGTCACTCAGTGACTTAGCGTCCTCCAACACAAAGCTTGACAAGAAAACACTCTGTAGGCACAACTCCTATGCAAGCTGCATACGACGCAGTGTTGCTTTGTTCTGCCCTTCACAGATGCAATTCTTCCAAGGAGCACGCCGTCGTTCTGTTGCGGCGCTGTGAGGGGCACTTTGAGTCACAGCATGTCTCGCTCGTCTCCCGTGGCACTTCGCTCAAAGCGCGATCTCTTCGTGCAAAGCCCAGCGTTCACTAGGAGCAAGGACGCTACTAGGGGCTCCTGGCATATGCCAGGGGCTTCTGGCATCGCTACTAGGAGCAAGAAGCTACTAGGTGCAAAGACGCTACGAAAACCCGGAAAGGCCGGTGGGAACGTCCGGAAGGAAAGGCGCCGAACAACGGAAAGGACGCATCCAACGGACGGAAAGGACGTCCGGAAGTTTGGAGGCATCCATGCTGAGGAAGGAAGCATGCTGCTCAGAGTACTAGCTAGTCCCTAATCTTCGCATGCAGGACCATTCATGCCTTGAGCACATGGGGGTGTCCACCTCGCCGTGCAAAGTCGTCACAACGAGCTGACTTTCTCCATAGGAAACGATAAAACAGCTGGAGCTTGCCTGTTCCGTTTGGCGCACAGTTCAACACTGCATGACATTGAGAAGTTCAATTCGAGACTCAGACCACACAGACTGAGAGTTTCAAATATTCTGCAGGTGCCTTTCTCGCAGTTCCTCATTTAGTCACTTGCGCTTCACTCACGTTCCTTGAGCACTGCTTCGTTGCGCTTCATATCCCCCAGCAACCTCTCAGGCTGCCTGCGGCAATCTCAGGTCGTTGGTGCTTGTCCTCCCAAAAACGCCGCACGATGCCAAAAACATAAGTTTTTCTCAACCAAATAATAGCGATGGCCTCCGACCTAGCAGCAATGGCCTCCAACCTACTAGCGATGGCCTCCAATTATGGCGATGGCCTCCAACCTCCTAGCGATAGCATCAAACATATTAGCGATGGCATCGAACCTACTAGCGATGGCCTCCAACCTACTGGCAATGGCCTCCAACCTAATAGCGCTGGCCTCCGACCTAGAAGCGATGGCCTCCAACCTAATACGGATGGTTTCCAAGGCCTCCAACCTAAGAGCGATGGCATCCAACCTAGGAACGATGGCCTCCAACCTAAGAGCGATGGCCTCCAACCTAGAACCGATGGCCTCCAACCCAGGAGCGATGGC